TTAATAAATCATTGAATATTAAAATACATTAATTTTAAAGAAAGGACAGAACAAGCGGTGGAAGCTTTATAAAACAATAAGAAACTAGTTTCATAAAAAAAAAACACCTACAATTTCAAGAATATCAAAAACGAAAATTTACAAATAAGGTGTAAGAACCATAAAACATATATGATGTTCTTTAAATTATGGAATAATACAGAATTATTATTTTTAGTACTAACTTCTGTACGATAAAATATTGGAAAAATCGTCAGAAAGATCGATTTTTATTTCTAATGAAGCATATTTTTACAATAAAAAACTCAAGAGTAATTACATTTCCTTGTACAGAGTTGAAACTTTGAAAACTTTAAAAGGTCACAAGAGTCGACTGATAGCTTATTTGAAAGGGTTTATAATTCTCTATTATTAGTTTTTGACTTAATTAAATTTAAAGTGTGATATAAACTAAATAGTACGACACTGCTATATTAATTGAATTACATCATTGTAAACTGATACTCAAGTTCTTAAAGAGTCAAAATGTTCTCCATTCTTGACAAAGTCTATTGTTTAGTCACTTCATTTACTATAGAAGATTTTAATTCAGTTATTAGAAATGTGACCAAGTCAAGTATGACCAAGGTTCTTACGTCATTCTAATGACGTTCTATTAATCTGATTTAAGAATGTTTGGTTTATATTGACACTAACTTGACAATGCGCATGAGTTTTTGCGGATTTGGTTTTGAATTTGTAAGGATAAAAAAAATATTTGTTTTGTGTACTGATCACGCATGAAAAGAAAAAATTGGTGTTGTAGTTGCTTTGGTCTCTGAAATTTTATAAAACCATTTGCCGCGTTCATCAATAAATCTTTGGCTATCTTAAAAATAAATTGGCATTTCATTTACAAAAACAAATGCGTCCATATCCATAGCTAGGGTTGTCACAACACAAGGCTCGCTTTAGGCGTAATTATCCCACTTTTTAACTTGCTGGCACGCGTTACGCCAAAGTACGAAAATTCCCCACATTTCAACTAAATGCTACGCTTCTTAAATACAAAGTTATATACAGGGTGATCCATTAGTGTGAAAAAGTCCAATATCTCCGCCATTATTAGAGATATAAAAAAATATTTTCACAGAACGTTAGACAGCGTTAAACTACATATTTTAAAATTATTTTTGAATATATAGGGTGTTTAATAACTTCTCTCAGGAACCAACTTATGTTCTTTTTAATGGATCACCCTGTATTTTATTTTATATTTGAATTACCTTCGCTTTTCTCATTCTAAAAATATAAATTATTATTGGTTTATACAGGGTATTTCACAGGATATAATCGCTTTTGTATGAAAATCGTATTGAATTCAATGACCTATATCATGCAAAAGAAACAATTGACAACCAATTTTTTTTCTACCACAATTTTTCGGTCGTGGTCAAATTTTATCCGGAGACACTACTTTTTCAATTCGCATCAAATCTGTACAGGGTGAGTCAAAACACAAGTAAGTACATAATTTTCTCAATTTTTTTAAATGGTTCACCCTGTATTTTATATCATCATTCAGAAGTATCCTAAATAAACTTTAATTTGACTTAAGCATTCCCTATACCAAAAGTTAATAGTTTTTAGAGATTTATAAATTTTAGTGGTAAAAACGATAATTCAGAAAATAATTGATTGGAAATACATTTTATTTATCATTAGTAATTAATTGAATTTAACCTGAAGTAATTATTTATTATCGACTAAGTAAGTTTCTGACAATATGTAATGTCACTTATACATTTATTAGAAAAAGAAATAAACATTGCAACCACAAACTACAAATGAAACCTACTAAATTTTTTTGTTTATTAATTTTTTTTTAAGTTGGCTTTGAAAACCCCCAATACTGACAGTTTGTTATTCTTAATGTCATTAGTGTTGCATTATTTGTTTTCTACAAAGTCTCGCCAGTTTTTTAATATGAATTATAGTCGTGAAGAATTAGTTGATATGGTATGGATTTTGGGAGAATACAATAAAAACTCTTTGTTAGCAACTAGAGTTTATAAAGAACGATTTCCAGAGCGTAGAACGCCAAACAATACATCGTTCGAAAAACTGATGGATCGATTTAACCGAACAGGGTCAGTTTCATATGAGAAAATTGATAGAACAAAAACTGTTACAAAAGAGGAAAATGAACTAAATGTTTTGTTAGCAGTTACCGAAAATCCGCATATTTCAAGAGAACAGGAAATAAGTTATACGTCAGTACAAAGAATACTTTCCAAAAATAAAATGCATCCGTATCATATGCAACTACATCAAGAACTCACTATTATGGATTTTGAACACAGGGTAACTTTTTGTGAATGGTCACAATAAAAAATTACTGAACGAAGAGATTTTTTGAGTACGTGCTTTTTGGAGATGAGGCAACTTTTCATCGAAATGGCTGTGTCAATAGGCATAACTTTCATTATTATTCCACTTCTAATCCATACCATCACAGTCAGGAAAGGTGGTCTTTAAATGTTTGGGGTGGCATTATCGGTGAGTACGTGATAGGACCTCATTTTTTTAACGAACCTGTAAATGGGAAATTGTACTTAGACTTTCTTGTAAATTCTTTACCAATATTGCTTGAAGATCTTCCTCTTGAAGTACGCCGAAAAATGTGGTATTTACATGATGGTGCTCCTGCTCACAATAACGCTCTTGTAAATGGCGAACTTGCATAATGTATAAAATACCTCCAACTACAGTAGATGATATGAAAATACGAGTAAGAGAGGCATTTTAAAGTGTTACTGTGGAAATGCTTAGAAATATGAGTCGAAACTTTGAAAACCGTCTTCAGGCCTGTAATAATATTATGGAAGGCCACTTTGAACAACTGTTCTAATTAAATATAATTTTGCAAAAATTACATTTAAATAATAAAGTATGAATTTGTGCTAGCTATTGATATTTTTTCTTTCTTAATGTAAAAATCGATAATAAATTACAGCTGGTTAAATTGTAATAATTACTAATTATCAAACAGAATGTATTTTCTATCAACTAGTTTCTGAATTATCGTTTTTACCAGTAAAATTTAAAAATCTCTAAAAACTATTAACTTTTAGTATAGGGAATGCTTAATTCAAATTAAAGTATAATTAAGATACTTTTGAACGATGATATAAAATAGAGGGTGAACCATTTAAAAAAATTGAGAAAATTATATATTTGTGTTTTGACTCACCCTGTACATATTTGATGCGAATTAAAAAAAGTAATGTCTCCGGATAAGATTTGACCATGATTGAAAAATTGTGCTAGAAAAAAAATGGTTATCAATGGTTTCTTTTGCATGATATAGGTCATTGAATTCAATACGATTTTCATACAAAACTGATTATATCCTGCAAAATACCCTGTATAAACCAATAATAATTTATATTTTTAAAATGGGAAAAGCGAGGGCAATTCAAATATATAATAAAATACAGAGTGATCCATTAAAAAGGACATAAGTTGGTTCCAGAGGGAAGTTATTAAACACCCTGTATATTCAAAAATAATTTTAAAATATGTAGTTTAACGCTGTCTACCGTTCTGTGAAAATATTTTTTTAAATCTCTAATAATGGCGAAGATATTGGACTTTTTCACACTAATGGATCACTCGGATGATCTTTTTTTTAGATCTCCACAAATAAAGGATCTTATTTTATAAAAATACTTGTTTTTTTAACCTGATCCCTGTCGTCATCGTTGTCCCACTTTTTCCTTTCATAAATCTGGCAACCCTATATTAAGCCTTTCTTTCAATTTTACAAATAACACAATCAAACAATAATTTAATAATTAAAAAGTAAAAAATTTTACATTTGTCATTTCATTTGACATTTCATACCTGTGATGACCACGTTTTTACTGTAGTCATGTTAAAGTTGACAATTTCAAGACAATATTCAATACGACGTCATTATTTTTGATTTATATCAGTGTAGTCATTTATATTCAATACATAGTATCTGATTTAAAATCGCCTTTTATTTCGAATTATATATTTAATTAGGTCAAAAATAATGAAGCAAATTTAAAATTATTTAAATAGAGAATTAAAAACTCTTCTAAATGAGCTACCACTCGACCCTTGTTGTGATTTAAACTTTTCCAGGGGGAACATCGAGATACTATAAATATTTGATAATATAATAACATGAAATACAATAAAGTAAATTGTAAATACTTGTTTTAAAATGTACAAATTGTTTTAGTTTTCAAAAAAACAAATCCAACTATCATATAATTGACGATTTCGCATGTTCAATTTGTAGTCCTAGTTAGAAGATACATGGCATTGGCTCGCTCAAAAATACGCCCTGGAGCTGCCTGAAATAAGAAAATTTCAAAAATTAGTTCATAACATAACGCACTAAAAGCTTTGATTAATTTTTTTTTAATGCGACGCACATGTTTCATTTGAATTTGAATTTTTATGGACATTTATTGCACCAACAGGTACTCATTCGGTGGTTGGATTAAGTCGATGGCTCAGTAGTAATACCATCATCATCAACATTGGTGACAGCAGCAGAAGCCGGTTCGGTATCGGCGGCGGTAAAAGCGACGTCGGTGCGACACGAAAAAGCAGCGCGACGCTCCGGAGGACGCGTGCGCGTCCAGCGTCGGCTCCTTCGAACCTCGTATGTTTCGTGTTTCGCGTTTTCAGTGTCGATCAAGCTGGCGGCGAGGTGCGTGCGCGTCAGACTTTCCTCAATTTTGGTAAATTTCATCTAGTAACCATGTGTGTTGCCAACAGAAAGCGATAGACAGAATAGAGGCTAAATTGCCGTCACGACGTATGAACCGCAACCGAGAGAGGAGTGAAAGAGTGCTGTAGGGATAAAACGAGCGTGTGTGTGTGTACATGGTGGTGTCGATGCGGCCCGAAAAAATGGGCCATGCAACCGGGGGTTCTCCCTCGGGCTAACCAATTTTTTTTGCGGGCCACGGAAATAGGCCATGGCCTTTTTGATAACGGCTTGGACCACCCTGCTGTGGCTAGCCTCAGGTAAGACACACTACTTGCTATTTATTCTAAATCGCTCTTTTTTTGAGAAATCATGATTTTTCGCTTTTATTTTTAATTTTTCAAAAATTACTACATATCTTTTAATTTACCAGGATTTTAACTTTTTTCCAGAAATAACTCTTTTTACTGTCCATTTAGAAACGAATAAATTGACCCATTCCCTAATTAAAATATTTATTAAAGAAAATTAATTGTTTTTCGATATTTAAATTTAAGGCGAACGATTGATTAATTCAGTTGTTACTTCATTTATACAAAAATGTATTAAAATTGAGCCCAATAAAATAAAAGATATTCCTTTTATGCTAATTCGAACTAAACTCGGAACTAAATAATATATCTTTTAGTAATTTCAGTAAAAAAAAACATAAAGAACTTTTGAAAACAAGTTATCTAGTAATACTTATACAAAATCACAATTAATTTTTAAATTGGGGTAGAAAAACATAGACTTTTCTGTTCTAACTACTTTGGATTCTTATTATAAGGTCTAAACAAAAATTATGTTGATGCACAATGGTTTCTACTGCTGTCACCGGTGATTATTATATTTCAAATAGCGATACTGATGAACCATTATTCGAAACATTAAAATGAGGTGACCTGTTGTAATTTGTAATATGTTGAAATAACTTATATATTTATTATAAAACTTGAAATAACCTATATCTTTATTATAAAAATTTTCGGCTCGAATATTTAATCTAATCTGGAATTAGGTAATTAAAATATTTTCAATAATGCAACACCGATAGTGTTTACCTGTATTGGCACCAGTCTCGTATTTTGTAAATGTTCTGTTAGTTTCCCAGCGCTACTTTGGAAATGGAACTTTTAATTAGAACTTAACCGTTAAGGAATTATCTCCTTTAATATTGACATGAAATTTAGGAATACACTGTATATAAGAGGACTTGTGTTTTCCTACCGGCAATTATTGAAAAATATATCATATATTTCATAAGAAAACCAATTTAAAACCAGTTAAAGAAGATACATTTAATGATTGCTTAAAAAATAGATTATTGTATAGGGTGTCCGCTAACTAATGGTACACAGTAAACCTTCAGATTCTTTGGGTAAAAATATTGCGATTTAACCAAATTTGATAATAACCGATAATTTCGTTTTATTTATTATTTCATCAATAGGGTGACATACCGGTATAAAATTATGAATTTAAGGGGTTTTGGAGGCGAGAAATTCAAATTCGTTCTTAGTTCGGATGCCACTTATAGCGGGAGCCACTTATGGCACATGAACTCTCTTTAAAATGACCAAACTTTTTTATGTCATGGTGTATTAGCTTAAATGTTAATTAATACATATTTTCCATCTTTTTTACGCAAAAGGTGTATTTTGTAAATGTTGCTCCGAGGTTTTCCAGATATCTATTATTTAGTACACTTTTTCAAATTCCCATATGTAAAATTTTTGATTGAAGTAGACTGTTAATAAATTATGGAATAAAATTGTAAATACTGTGGAACGGTTTCGAGACTATCAGTTATTTTAGATAAAAAGGTTGTTTGAAAACGGGTTGTCAAATGTATTGAAGTTAATGGAAATCACTTTAAACATTTATTGTCGAAAGATGTTCTCTTTTAATATTAAATGTTTTTCTTTTTATGTTGTTATTTTCCCATTGTTATTATTGTTCTAGCCATGTAGGTACTTCAATAAAAATTTTACATTTTTTGGGAATTTGAAAAGGAGTACTGAATAATTGATACGCAGATATCTGGAAAACGGTCACTCGGAGCGCCATTTACAAAGTATTCCTTTTTTGCGTAAAAAAGTGAAAAATACATATTTAACATTTAAGGCTAATACAGTGTTACAAAAACGTTTGGTAATTGTAAAGAGAGTTCATGTACCGTAACTTGGCTCCCTCTACAAAAACCCTTAAAATCGCAATTTCGGTCCGGTATATCACCCTGTTGATGAAATAAGAAAAAACGAAATGAAAATTACAATTTTTGGACTAAGGTAAGTTTAGTTAAATCGCAATATTTTTACACGTTACATCTGAAGTTTTGCTGTGTACCATTAATTAGCCATATTATAATCTAAAACGCTATAAAAAATGAGAAAGAAATATGCACAATAATAAACTAAAGATAAGCTATTAACTATTAACAATATCATTAAAATAAGTTTTTTGTGGCTCACGGATATAAACCATGTCCTTTTTGATAACGGCTTGGACCATTCTGATGTTGCTAGGCCCCTGGTAAGACTCATACTACTTACTATTTATTCTAAATCGGTCTTTTTAAATTTAATTTTTTACAAATTACTAGATACATATAACGCTTTTTACTACCTTTACTACTATTTAAATATTAATAAATTGACCCATTCCCTAATTAAATTATTTATTCAAGTAAATTAATATTTAATTTTCCATATTTGAGTTTATAGCGAATGATTAATTCAGACGATAGTTTACCTTCATTTATATAAAAATTTGTTAAAAATAAATCCAATCAAAATAAAATATAATCCATTTATACTTTATATTTTAATAAAAAAACATTAAAATCAAATTGTCTATTTTTTTAAAAAATTCTCTAGTAATACACGGTAACGCCTTGGTCTTTAGAGCTAAAACTATTTAATTTTTTTAAAATCTGTTTCCACAGCGATATATATATATATCAGAAAAGGCAAAAATTTAAAAATAATTTCAATTATACATGTTTCTTCAAGAAAGTGATACATATCAAAGTTAGGTTTTCTCAAATGGTATTTTATTTTACATTTGAATTGACCTTGCTTTTCTTCAAGAAAGTGATATATATCAAAGTTAGGTTTTTTTAAATGCTTACACCCTGTTTTTTTTATATTTGAATTGACCTAGCTTTTCCCATTATAACCAAATATAATACAGGGTATTTCACATGCTATAACCAATTTTATATGAAAATCGATTTCATTTCAATGACCTGTATCTGTATACTGCAAAAGAAACAATTGAAAACAAATTTTTTGGCCTCAAAGGTTTTAGATAATAGTCAACATTTTATGCCGGTGCACTACTTTTTCAGTTAGAAAAAAATCTATACAGGGTGAGTCAAAACTGAAATACGCCATTTTCTCATTTTTTTCTTTTTAATTGACCACCCTGCATTTTATATCACAATTTAAAAGTACCTAATTAAAATTTCATTTAAGTTAAGCATTCCCTATACCTAAAATTAATACTTGTGGTAATTGTGTTAGATTTTTAAATATAAATAAATAAAAAAAGATTTAACTAGTCCCTGGTTAATAGGAAATAGATTGTCTTGTTAATTGGTAATTAAAATTGAACCAGCTATAATTTATTATCGACTGAATATATTTTTAACAATACATAATGCGACTTTTATATTCAGTAAAAAAAAAAAAATAAAAAATAGCAACCGAAAACGTCACATAATACCTACTTTATTCCAAGGTTAATAATTAATAAAATAATATCTATGGAGGTCTAAAAGTGGTTTTCAAAGGTCCAACTAAGGTCCAACTCATATATTTGTAAATATTTCCTGAGTATCATTCGAATAAATACTTCTCTTAAACACGACTAAAAGCCATATTAAAAAATTCTTTTAAAAACACATATATCGTAAGGTTTCAAAGTAAACTTAAAAATGTAATAAACTTAGAATAAAGTAAGTATTATATTGGAGTGAGTCTATGATTCGTTGCTATTGGTATTTATTTTTAACTGAATGGCAAAGTCTTATTAAAAATTGTCAAGAACTTATTCAGTCGATTAGCTATTTACGCAACCAGTTACGAAATGCCTTATTTTATGTAACGAGTGAATATTTGCGGGAGGAGCAGAACGAGGTCCCGCACCACGATCGAGTTACATAAAACGGCATTTCGTAATGTGGTACATACAATATTTTTTCTAATTTTGACGAAATTATTTATAAAATTGTGTTTGGTAAAACTTTACTGAGATCTAGGCAACCAATTTTACTTTATTGTATTGTTAGTTGCATATGCACAACTCCACTCATTTTAATGACAAACAGAAAATCATATTCATTTATATTCAACGACTTGTAGTGTGTTTATATTACTTGTCAAAGTTATTTAATTTTCTAAAAAGTGGGTCATTTTGTCGTGTATTGTGTTTTAATAAAATAAGGAACAAAAAAACATTATTACTAGGTTGTAAGTTTAACCAAATTCTATTTTTATAAGTTAACCTATTTTTCTTTGATAAAAATTTTCATATATTAATTTTAAAACCATAAAAGGTTTATTTATATTTATTTTTTTTCGCAACTGGTGACATATTGAATTTTTAGTTAGTAACCAGTTTCATAATGTTCAACATTATGCAACTAATTACGTAAAGTAGATCATTTAGACACTTGCTGCGATTAAAAAATGTCACTTCATATGTCAAAATTAAAAAAATTAAGGCTTAAACCAAGGAAATGCTTAATTTACATGAAACTTTGATTAAGGTACTTTTAAATGGTGATATAAAATACAGGGTGGTCAATTTAAAATTCTTATATGATTAAATAATGTATTTGAATTTTGACTCACGATGTGCAGATTTGTTTCGACTTGAAAAAGAAGTCTATCGGCATAAAATGTTTACTAATATCTAAAACCTTTTACGGCAAAAAATTCGTTTTAAATTGATACTTTTGCAGTATACAGGTCATTGAAATCAATACGATTTTCATATAAAACTGGCTATAGCGTGTGAAATACCTTGTATAATCTCATACTATTTGGTATTGTTATAATGGTAAAAACGAGGGCAATTCAAATATAATATAAAATATATGGTGCCCATTTAAAAACAAAACTTTGATATTTGTCACTTTCTTGGAGACCCTGTATAAGTGAAATCATGTTTAAATTGTTGCCTTTTCTAATATACATCTCGCTGTGAAAACAGTTTTTAAAAATATTAAATTTTTTTGACTCTGTAGACCGAGGCGTTCCGGTGGCCTACCCTG